AGAAAATATTTAAAAAATTCTATTTTTATTTTTATTTTTATTTTTATTTTTTAAAAGGTTAAATTCACCGAACCTAATTCAAGATCTGTGTGGATAGATTATAGGTCTACTCCTTTAACCCAAAATATGAAATTACCAAACCCAAAATAAATTCAAAATCTAGGATGACTCAATTCGAACCTATCCAATTGATTTGTTTACTAGCTCTAGCTTTTATCATCCACGTTGACAATTTATGATGGTAAGAAATTGCCATGTTGGCACTGACATAGCAATGGATAATGGAATTTTAACATGCACATACGTTGCCATCCATTTTGGGTTTTTTCATTTAAATCGAAAAGATGAGAAGTTAAAACTTTCATATTATGAGTTAAGGGGTTGATACTTTCATAGTCATTAAGGTAGAGGACTGGCTATGGTTTTTTGCCTTAAAATTGATCAATATACTGGCGGTCTGTAAAACAGACGTGGCACTAGGAGACATATTATAACCAATTAAGCCAGGGCCCTATTGCAAAATATGCAATACAAAAGTTCATTGAAACTATATATAGAAACAAATGGACCATTTGTGAGGAATGCGAACTTCGTGGTGTGGGTCTTGTGCCTTAACAACAATTAAACTCCCATCGCTTGGGAGAGGCCAATGAGAGAGAGGTTGAAGCATTTGTAAATTTTAACTTGCATTTCAATTCTATCTTCATTTTGTTGTAACCTTAAATCCCACATCATTCCGAAATGCTGGTGTTTAAAGGTAAAACATATATAAAAATCCTTAATATAATCCAATAAATTAATTATGTATAGGTTTTATGGCCAAAAACAAAGTTCAAAGTATAGGTTTTGTTTATGAATGTTAATTATGGAATCCATAAAAAGTCAATGAACTCGTTACTCTATGTGAAGTTGTGCTTGAGCTACGATCCAGGTCGATCCACCCGTCCCCTTTCGCCATCCTAGCCCATCTACCAAATTCCCATTCCTTCAAAGCTGGCTAGCTTTGCTGGCAGAGAAAGTACCCATTGCGTTCTTTCATTGGCTTTTGGATATGGGTCCGGTGCTGGCAGGCCTCCACCACGAGAGAGTTGTTTGAAAGGGGCAAGTCCTGGACCGGATCCTCCTTTTCTCTTTTGCCTTTTGATCATCAATTTGTAGATGATAGTCCACTTAATTAATTTTGATCCTATGGCTTTTTGAAGCTTAGTTTTTCTATTGAACTGGATTTTCCTTTTTGAGATGGAGTTATACGAACTACAATTTTTCCTAGTTTTTGGGATTATATGAGTCTTGGACTTTAGTACCTCCAGTTGCAAAACCTTCTCTTTTTCCAACAAATTGATTTTCATTTCCCGAATCTCTCAAAAGTTAACATACTTATGATTATTCTCCTGTATAAAAGAAATTAAACATTTAAAATTTTCTAAAATACAAATCTAACGGCGCCTACGCTGGCGCCTAAGTCTACCATTGCCATTAGCAGTGGTGGCCGTAGAGGTACTTGTTTCTACTGGATTAGAATCTCTAACCCTAAGCTTTTGCTGCAAAACATTATGTACACTCTCTCTCAGACTATTGATTTGGTTGAGCTCATCCTGGCTCAACTGATCCGCCGGTTTATTCCACCATCCTGTCCCATGTGGTGCCAACATCTGGTCCCACATCCTCTCTTTCTCTTTCTCGGCCTCAAGTTGGCTGAACAACTCATTGTGCTGTCTGGTGAGCAAGACCAAGTTCACAGCAGATTTTAATTCGACACCACAGAGAGCTTCGGGTTCATTTGACTTTTTTTCGATCCCAGATCTGTGTTTCGAGGATGGAACCATTTTCTCTCCATTCTCTTCTATTTTCTTTCCCTCCATGAGAATTAATTTGAGTACTATTGATGAAGAAAGAAGATTAACTCTGCGTACTGCAGCAAAGTTGAGCGTTTGGCCTCTGTATATATAAGAAGAAATTGGTGGCCTGGATCGTTACTGGAAAGATACAAAGGGGAGTGCTTTTTCTTGAAAGAGAAAGTTCTAAAAATAAAAGGTAAATTTCGATCTATAATTTCCAATTTTCCATATTCATTGGAATATTCTGTTAATAGCTAAAACAAATTGGAATATTCTGAGCAATGAGTTGCACCACAGACAGGATGAATTTCTCAGTAAATTATTAGTAGTAATTTTGTTAAGATTTCTTCTTGCCGTGTCTGATTTTGTATCCAAATAAGGGTATGGAGTTTCCGAATTTACTTGGGAATATGCATACACGGAAACATGATGAATTTCTATAAAAATTATGTTTTGTTAACTTGTCTTATTTTGTTGATTTTCTTTTCAAATTTAGATTTTCTATACATTGTTTACTTACTGTGTTTAAAAAAGAATGTTGTTTTGTAGTTCATTTTGCAGGAATTGCATTTATTTTAATCATTAATAAAGAAATGAGCCCTCATCGTTACAAATTTAGATTATTAAAAGTGGAAATATAATGGTTGAGATCTTATGTAACTGTAATGTGTAAAATTATGTATAAATGGATCCTTCCTATATATATAGTAGAAAAGATTTAATTATATACAAATTTTACACACTATATTTATAAAAAAAATCTTAATAATTCATTTATTTATTTTTAATAGTTGAGATTTATTCAATTTTTATCATATTTATTAAATATAATTATTTTTTCATCTAAAAAGTTGTAATAACTCTCAAACATTAAAAGTAAAGAGATGGATGGTTAAGATTTTGTATAAATGTGAGGTATAAAACTTGTGTGTGGATCTATATTTTATATATATAAGGAAAAATGTTTATTGAGAGATGAATTTGCATTACCTTGAAATTCACAATATGTGCAATGCCGCATCAATAAGATCGGCTTTGGACTTGTGACTAAAAAGGGCCCACATGATCTATTTTGACATTAGATATGTTATATTTTATTTTTTGCTGATAGCTAGTATGGAGTTAGCATTGCCAAAAGCAACATTCACCCACTTTGTTGAGAACATTATAGACATTCACCCACTTTGTTGAGAACATTATAGACATGGTCTGCTCTAACATTATTTTTGGGAGGGTGACCCACAAAACATTGTTCAAATGGGTGCAGACCAAAAGGACTCTCCTCATCTCCTGTAGGGGGGTATCCTAGTTAACTTCCACATCATCACCGTTGCTGACTCCACCTCCTTACCTCAACAATGTTTTGCAAGTCGCCCTCTCAAAAATTTTTTAGGGGACATATTTAAAATTTTCATCTTCAAATTAACATTTTAAAAAACAACTATTGAATTGAAAGTTTTATTTATATAAATCATGCATGTCAATTTTTAGATTGTTCTAATAAGGCTAACTACTTTGTTAGTTACATAAAATTTAACATCATTAAATAAATAATAATAAATAGAGTTTCTTTCATCAAAGAATTATATATATTAAATCAATATGAAAATTGATATGTATAATTTACATAAACAGAACTTTTAATTCACCAGTTGATTTTAAAAATATTAATTAGAAAGTAGACTTTTAGGCATGTTCTTCTAAAAAAATTTTAGGAGGAGGACCTACATTACACTTCACTATTCTCACATATATATAAATATATTGGGAAAGTCCATATCAGTCCTGAATCCCAAAAAAAAATGGAATCCTAGACCTTAATGGCGTCATTTCTCTTAATTCCCAGCCCCTACTGTTTTTCATCCCTTCTGCTTCCCAGTCAATCATCTCCATCTCCATCGCCATAACCTCTTTACCTCCTCAACTGCTTTGATTTTTTCAATCTTTCAAACACAATTCCACACCACCGACTTGTCGTTGTTGTCATTTACTACTTGTAAAGTTGAGTAGGTTGTTCCCATCGATCAATTTCATCTTGAGACATTTGTCGTGAAATTTGAGAAGAATTCATTTTAATTCCTAATACTTTTTTGGGTAGATAGAGCTTAGTAAGAAAACAAAGCACTTACCATCCTTTGATCCCTTCTTTGTTATCATCAGTGGAGATGATGAATTGCAGTTGTATAATGGGATGAAAATAGTAAATGTTGGGGATTAAGTCGGCAATGTGGGATTGTGTTTTAAAAATTCAAGGAATTGGAGGAGTCGAGAAGGTGAGGGGGCGAGGAGGTGAGGAGGCGATGGCGATGGTGATGGAGATGGAGATGATTGTTTGAGATGCAAAATGGTGAAAAATAGTAGGGGTGAAAAGGATCAAAAGAAACAACACCATTAAGGTTTCAGACTCTAATTTTTTTTTTTTAAGTCGAGACTGATATGCATTTTCTCATGTGTATATATATATGTGTGTATGTGTGATATACTTAATTTGATAATTTTTGTATTAACTATTGGCTTTTCCCTTTTAGTTTAGAATCTTTATTATTATTTTTTTTTTAAATCGTCAACCAACTTTTAAATTGCATCAATTTCGTGTACCTAATTAGTTAGATTGACAAAAGTCTTTATTATCACTTACAAGTTGCCACATATGCAACACGTGGCTTGAAAACAAAGGGTAATTATTGCCTATTTGTTTACCTAACATATTCAACAATAAATAATTAAATTATAATCTAATTTAATTAAAACAAAATTAATTAAAATAACGAAAATAAAATTATTCAAATCACATGCTGCTTATGTGGCAGCTTACATAGCGCCACTTGGCAGATGGAATTGCAAATGGGTACCACTCACTTTATTCAAAATAAGAAAAAGAGATTCCTAGCAATATTCACTATTTATAAGTATGGAACTCAGTTGTATGTCAATTGAAGAGTATTAGTTAAATAAATTATGAGATGCGTTGAGGTTAGATGATGTAGAAATAGGGGTTCATTCTTACATTGAGGTCCATAAACAATTGCTTTGGAAGAACATTAATCACTTCCCACAACTAGAGTCATGATGTAAGTTTATTAGTCAAAATAAAAGAAAAAAATAGAGAGAAAGAAAGTGCAAAGGGAGCATGTGTTAATTACCCTTATATAGACCAGTTTGTCATCACATTAGCGAGCAAGGAGAGGGCAAGGAAGCAGGGAGGTAGGAGTGTTTAGGGTTTTTGCTCGTTGCTTGCCAATGTCATAAGGAGATTAAACATTTAAATGGCAAAAGTATTTAATAAAAGGAATGACTCCATTGGTGAAAAACTTGAGACTTTAATTTAGATATGATAAGTTCAAACCCTAAATTGAATGGGGAAGGGATTTGAAACACAAACTATCCTCTCATATGACCAGCTATCTGATGTACCATAAATGACAAAATTTTCAAACAAAGACATAAACTTTCACCTATTATGACGACATTAATTGTACTAATTTTTATTGGTAGCTATTACAACTTTTTCCTTTTAAAATGTATAAAAGAAAAGTTTATGAATAAAAAATTGTGTCAAAAAAAACATAATGTCTAAAAGTATTACGCTTACTCTCCTTTTATTGTACCTAAAGAATCCAAAAGGAGGAAAATTGGGGTCAAATTTTCCTTCCCAACCAAAGGCGCCCTAATCTTGCCTGATTGGCCAAGTATAAGCCCTTATCATATGCTTTTGCCCATTGAAATGGGATGTCCGCACTCAAATCTGTTGGATAGTTTCACTGTGGATGACGTACACTCACAGGGAAAGCATCGATTGAGAATTTGTTTCACTGGGCACCGCCCCTAAACTTTTGAGAATCTGTAAATAGGTTCATTAAATATTATTTTTATCAATTTTATCCATAAGTTCTTAATTTGTCTTATAACATTTTCACTGTTTCATATTGCCCCCTAAAAATATTTCCAAGCTCCGTGATTGCTATCCAAGGAAAGGACTTGCTTGGAAAAAAAATTAAACAATGTAGTCTTGAGTATTTTTTTAATTTTTTTAAAAATTCAACTAATAAACACTAATTTCATAATTTAATTAATTATAATAATTTTTCTTCCCAACTATAAAAGTGAGCTTTAGTGAAAATGTATTCTTGCATCAAAATTAGGTGGTAAAGCAAGACACTTTGCTTGAACAAAAATTTTTTTTTTTTTTGATCGGCCAAAGTGAGGATTAAATTTAATGGAGTACAAGGGGTACTCCTACCCATATTGTACAAGACTACTTACATTACATCAAAAAATAAATCAAGTCCTATAGATGATTCATCAAAAACTTTAGATATGGTTGCTATACTCTAAGCCTTAGTAGTCATCACCCTCTTGCATGCTTGAATTGGGTCCAAAAGCCATAGATCCTTTGATATATTTGGCCAAAGACTAGCTTTCAACCACATCAATGATCGTATCTTGATTAGCTCAAATATATTGCTAAATGTGTCAGTGTTTTCCTGAAATACCTTTTGGTTTCTCCATGTCCATAGTGACCAAATAACTGCAAACCAGGTCACAAGCCATACTTGTTTTGATTTTTCTTCAAAAAATAGTTCTACGTGCTGTTGCAAATGGTTCCAACCTTCATAGTGTTGAGGAACAACAATACCCCACCAATTGTAGCAAGAGGACCAAACAATCCATGCTGTTCTGCAAGTGAATAGAAGGTGATTTGTTTCTTCATCATATTGTCCACATAAAGTGCATGTCAAATCCCTCTCAATGCTTCTTATTCCCCATTTTCACAAATTATCCTTTGTTGGAATTTTGTTTTGTGTGGCTTTCCAAGCAAACGCAGAGACTTTTAGGGGCACATTTTTATTCCAAATCAACTTGTAGTTATCAATTCTGCTTGGGTTGGAGTTGATTTGAAGCAGATTGTAAGTTGATTTCGCTGTGTATTTACCCTTGTGATCTTGCTGCCAAACCCAATAGTCTTCTTGTCCTTAGATTCTCTATTTCCCTTGTAATGCGTTTGTGAGTTCCTGCAAAAGCTCAAGTTCCCAAGCCAAAAGATTCCTCCTCCATCTCCATCTCCATTTCCATTCTCCATCCTTTCATTCCCCCATGTTAGAGATTAATGCATCTTTGTCCCCTAAACTTTGCTTGAACAAATATCTTTCCTCTTTAGTGGCAGGCAAACTACAATGGCCTTTCACAAAAAATAACAAGTTAAACCCCCCCATTTTGGTCCCTCAACTATTTACGGACCTCTAATTGAGTTCCTTAATGCAAAAAATCTTGATTTGGTCCCTAAGGTTTCCCATTTTGGCCCCAACTTGGTCCCTTCGTTAAAAATCTGCCTATGTGTCACCATATCATGTGGATCATTTTAATTCAATAGTTGCTTTAATAAAGGTCAATTTTTATTTTTTTTAATATTAATTAATATAAAAGTACAATAATTATACCCTTAATATGTGTAGTAAATTTGCATTAATGGCAGCCATTTCTTTATAAATGACATTAATTAAAATTAGCAAAAACTATCAATAGTCATTAATGAAGGGTTAGCTTGCTTTAACCGCATGATTTAAGGGTTTATTTGCTTATTTTTTTAATTTAGGGTATATATGTTAAAATGAAGTAAATTTGAGGGCTTACGTAATGGTTTTACCCCTTTTTTGAAAGACACATTACACAACGCATTTCAACCAATTCAACCAATTCATCAGGATGTAAATTAATAATTTTAAATAATTTAATGGTAATATCTTTTTATTAAAAATAAGATATCTTGAATTCTATTTATATTGTATGTGGGTAAAATAGAGTAAAGGACATGAGAGAATTACTTCATACTCTGTAATCCAAAATAAAAAAATAAAAAGGGCCAAATGCAAATATGCAATACAAAAGTTCAATGAACCTATATATAAACAGAGTGTAATGGATGGGGTTATTATCATATCTTAAATAGTTAATACCATATATTTTTAACGTAATTACCTATTACACTCTTACATTATATATTTTTTAA